ATTTTATATATTTATTTACAGAAATAATTGTCGTTCTTTCGATTGAAAAAAGTTAACACGAATAGATTGGGACTGTCGTACAGTCGTAAATACTTTTTGGTGTAACACATATTCAATGTCACATCCAACTGTGTGTGACAGAAAAATGTTGGAATGGAATAACAACAACAATCTTCAAAAATAAAGCGAATTCGAGTGTATGCATGCGCATGTGTATCTACACATCACGTCATTCCTAAAGCGCCTATTTAAATTCAATCTATAGCAATTAAGAACTAGATTCTCTATAAAAAGTATAATAATAATTTAAATTGTCAATGTTTAAATAAGAAAAAAAGTTAATTAAACTCAAGTATTACTTTTATAGATTATAGATTTTAATGTACAATTTTTACAAGATAAATCAAGTGAATTTATATGTAAACTTGAATAAAAAGTTTTAAATACATATATTTTTTTTTTAAAGTTACAAAGCACTTCTTAAATCAATAATAAACGTTCTTAAGATAGAAAAATAAAAAGAAAGCACACAATACTTGTCAAATTTACTATTGTAATTTTTATATTTTACTAAATTTTATAAACAGTTATTACATATATTTTGATTTTTTCGTAATGCAAACTACTTTTATATAAGTGTAAAAGCTGGATGAATCAGGTCACGTGTATCCAATGCCAATATATGTATACGTACATACATGGATGTATTTTACGTGACTACATATACATATATATATATATAACAAGCGTATATATTTGACAACACAGTTGTCCAAAAATGATCTACATTTCTTCTCACGGCCAATGATATTGTTAATAATAAATATTAGACAATTGAATTATTATACGTAATTAAAAAATCATATTCATTACACTATGTTACGTAAAAGGATTACAACTTAAAAAATTGAAGAAGCATATTTTAATCTAATACTTCACAGTTATTTATCTTTTTTTATAAACTTATAAAGCTTATAGAATGTACGAAGTGAACAGAAAACAAATAATTGAAAACAGAATTATCTGAACTTTTCACAGCCTATCTTAATATAAACTTCTTTTGAATTGTTTTTTTGAAAGTAACACATTGATACTAGTGAACAAATAAGGGGATACACACGCAGTACAGTACAATGAATATACTGGTAATGAAACTTATAAAAATGATGAAAAAAAGGGTTGGGATGCAATATGAATAAAGGATGTTTGTTGAGCGTAAATTGGGTTCTAAAATCGAGCTAAAAATTGAATCTTTTTGTGAGCGATTTCAAACATATTTTTCCAAGACATATACACAAGAAACCTGAATCGCATAAATAAGTCTACCGTCAGACTTTAAAAATTTTTCCTACGATGATATAAATCCTGTTTCATGTCTGCTACATACGAAGAATTCTCAAACATTTATTTACGACAGTATAAGCTAGCAATATAAGCCGTTATATTGATTCTCGATCATATGTTTTTGTAAATACTGTGCGGTTTTTTCACTTAAGCCAAGAGTCGGCAAGTCTTTTTCAAATTGTTCAGTAGTTCCGGCACCAGCTATATAACCATTTAACTTAGCGGCTAACGGTGAATTTCGAAGATCCTCATTGCTGGTCAGGCCAGTAGCTTCAAGTAACCATGAATGATTTCGAAGTCGATATTTTTGATGATAACTGGAAAAATAATAATAAATTAATTATTTAAAATAATA